GAGTTAGTAAGATTGTGGCTGCAAGGACAGAGTGGGACAGGCCACCAAAGTGTACACATACACACGCGCACACACATCCACAAAGAGAAGTACATATAGAGGAAGAAAGGGAAAAGGACATATTTGGCCACAAATATGATAGACAAGTCAATATTTGTGACGGTGACACTCGTCTTGATGGCTATGGATATATACATTTTGATTGTTTTTAGCCTTTTTCGGTATAATACTACATACTTGCTCAAGTCTCGATTAACGAAATTTACCAACTTCTCGGAAGAAATGGAAAAAGAAATATTTCGTATTATCCAAACTTCTGTGATTCAAACCATCCGTGATTGCCTAAACCTTCTTGTTGTGGTTCAGTTTGTCAGTGCCTTGAACAAAGTTGCTATACTAGCGCTAATCATCATTAAAAAACCGTCACTTTTGCATTACACTTTCGTTATTATGCTATTCTGCATGATATCTGTGTCCGCCGCCTACTTTGTTATTCACTACCGAGATGGTCAAATCCAGAAAGTGTTGAAGACGGAGCTGGGCCTGAGTATGTACAAAACCAAATATGCTGTTGGCAAGGGTGAATCTATCTACTCTTTGTCATCAATTGCCCAAAAAAAAAGGATTTATGCTCCACTCTTACATCAGATCCTAGAGTGCTGTGGTGCTACTGGCGTTGAAGATGTTCGAGTTGATAAATCACCCGTGTACACCTGCTGTAGAGTGAATTCAGAGTGCCAGCAGGAAGACGACTTTACGAAGCACTCATGCGCGTGGAAATTGCATGTTCAAGGCTCAAAAGCTATACTTAATCGACTCAATGCCTCCATCTTCATGGCGGTACTGATAGATTTATTCAATTTTCTGGTCACTATGATGTATCGGCTTTTTTTTACCGCTATTAAAGCCTCAGATATGGAGTTGATCCTCCCATGACCACTGCATCAGCTTTCCAGCTCTCTTGCCCCGGAACCAAGGCCTGTATCATAAGCATCATTTCTTCGGTCCCTTCAGGTAATCAAGTTTTGGTAAAGTTCTATCGATTGATGACATCAGGCGTCATTGCTGTACTTCAAAAACGCTATTGTAAGGACAAGTGGCCAACACCAAAGTAATTCAGGGAAATTAGAGTACTTTGGGGCCAAGGCTCGCCGTAAAGGAGGGAGACATTCATTCTACAACTTGAGGCTCTGGACCAACAAAATATGGCTGGCCATATCAGACCGTCAGGGTTTGTTATTATAAAATGCCAAGTAAGTTTTTTGACTTGTTTACTCATATTCCGTACAAGTAGTTTTCAAAGGTATCCGTAAATCTTAACCATAAATTTGTTAGTCAGGTGGCTTGTGGCCAGGAGCACACAACCCAGTTTCAAATCCGGATGGATATTAT